TGTGTGTGTGTGTGTGTGTGTGTGTGTGTGTGTGACTAAAAACGTTGGCTTAACAGGCCCTGATTTCACTAGTTTTATTCTAAAATGTTTAATAAAATCTCAGCTGTTGAAAAGATTTGTGGATGAATCTTGACCTGAAGACACAGCCGGTTTTTTTTCTGTTCTGATTGCATTTTTTTCCTCAATTTCACACTTTTTACAAGTCTTAAAATGAAGCTCACCCTACTTTAACTTGTATTTTTAGAACTTAAGCACTATCTTTATTTAAAAATATTTCGGTATTTTAGTTGTTTTTATTGCTTAGTATCTCACAACACTAACGTTAAATGTGCTTATTGTTTAAAAGAATTAAATGGAATAGGGAGCAAAACTTTAGAAAAACCAAAGGTTAGTTTTTGAGGTGCAGAATGAGTAAAACGGWAAATGAAAATGTAATTCACCACACTGATGATGATTCAGTCCCACGGCGGGTTTCTGGTGAGGAAAAATGTGGACAAAAAGTGAAAAAACACGAGGTAGTCGTGGGTGAAGGTTTTCTTTTTTATTCTCAAACAGATTTATGATTAATTATAATTAAATTTGTAGAGAGAAATGAGCTGAAGGCTGCGGTGCGATTTTCCTCAATTTACTGAAGCAAATACAGGTAAAATTAACATTTGATCTATTCTTTTTTTAACACAACTAATTTTATTTTAGCTGTATAAATAAAATTCAGTTTTTACTTGTCTATATTTAAGGAGGAGTCTATAAGTTAAAGAGGAGAAAGCACCAAAAATATCACAGATAATTTTTTAAAGAATATTAGGTGTCATGTTGTGAGTAAATTCATGACAGAGAGAGGTTACAGAGCAGTGTGTGCGCGTGTATGTGTGCCTATCTGGAGCCTATCAGGTCCTCCCCTGCGCACCAGACACTCCTCCAAAACATGACCACTTACTATGTGAACATCMCAGGTTGAAAAGCAGAGCGTGCATGTGTTTGACTCACTGCTGGTGTCAAAGAAAAAGACCCTCAACCACTCCTGGAGTTAAAAAAAAAAAAAGAAAGAAAGAAAGAAAAAAGTTGGTAAAATAGTGCAAACAGAGCGCGTGGGGGATGTCCGCAGCCTGCCGGTGCGCTCTGAGCCGCACAGCAGCCCAGACTGTTTGCTTTTTCATTTTTTAAATTTTATTTTTCATGATTATTATTTTTTTTTTTCATCTGAGTTAAACTTATGACATTTGCCACATCAGTCCGGGAGCGGGGCTGCAAATGGGCGGCATAGGTGGCAACCTGTACCTCAGCATGTTGAATGGGACTGAAGCGCAAACTCTCGGAAAGAACGCCGACATCAGCTCTCAYCTCCACCGCGGCGGCAAGGACCTCGCTGACTTCAAGATGGGGATCCAGGACGCCAGGTTCCACTATCCGGACTCGGTTCAAGGCGGGCAGGACCCGCTGGCCCTGCAGTACCACCCGGACCAGACGGTTGGGGGGTACGGAACGCCGCCCGGCCGCTTTTACGCGCAGACGCTGAGCGGCGGCTGCACATACGGCGGCGTGCGCTCCCCGCCTCGGAGCGGAGCCGGCCAGGGGTACATCCCGGCGGCCGGGGACAGCTTCCCCCACGGAGGGAAGGRCGTTTACTCTCCCTCTGGGGAGAGCTACCCGGGGGGGTTCCAGCACGGCTATCAGCGGCCTCTCTACCCGCTACCTGGACTACAGGTGTGCGGGAAGACCCAGGTCCTGCTCAACAACTACCCGCTGTGGGCCAAGTTCCACAAGTTCCAAACTGAGATGATCATCACCAAACAGGGCAGGTGAGTCCCACCAAAACTCCCTAAATTATTTAGATTATTTAGAAGTTTGTTCGTTTTGGAAAAATCTGAAAAAAAAAACGCGACTTTGGTTCTAAGTTAAGCGCTGAAACTTCTGAGGTTTTAAACTTTGACACTTTTTTGTTGTTGCTGTTGTTGGATATTGTGCATGGCTCGGAACTTATCTGCTCAGGTGACTGGTTTATTTATAAATTAGCAAGCAGAATAATCTCAAAAACTCATGTTTGGACAAATAACTTGTGCAAAATTGAAGCAGTGTAAAAATGAAAAAAAATTGAAATCGCACAATTTAAACCTTCTTCATGCATGCAGGGGCGTAAAACATGTACACTTTCACACAATTTAATGAGTGAAGTTCGTCAGTTTAAAAAACTGAGTTTAGTTTGAACTCTTCTCTCTGCAGTTCCTCAGTTTTCTCACATCACTCCTCAARCAAACAAAATTCTGTTTATTTGCTGCAAAAAAAGCCCAATAATCTCCAGTTAAAGTTCTGATTTAAACATTAGGTTTAAATGTTTTTCTGCTCAGACACAGAGGAGGACATCTRAAGGAAGAAAAAGAAAGTTTGCCAACAAAAGATGATGCAGGATTAAATGTTGCTGCCGGGCTCCTCTGATAGGTCACCGAGCATTAAGCTGCAGCCACGTCCACCAGGATTAATCCACTAATATGTGTCTGACAGAAGGTTTCAGGCCAAAGCTTCTCATGTGCACAAAACAACTGCTTTGTCACAGGAGAGGACAGTGATATTTCCCRCCGAGGCCTCCTTTCTATTAAAACTGCCTAAATTAAAAATACATGTTTGAGTTTTTAAAGTGAAGAGTTTCAGATGAAAAGCTGCAGCTCTCAGTGCTTTTCTCCTTTTATCTTCATCAACTTCAGGAACTAAACGTGGGTTCAGTCTCTTCGGCCCTTTTAGGTTTTGCAAATTTAGATTGCATCTTTACGAAGGTTAAAAGTTGTGCACGGTGGCAAAAAACTCAGGTGCAAATCTGTATTTGTCTTGTTTTTGTTCGTGTGTGTGTGTGTGTGTGTGTGTGTGTGTGTGTGTGTGTGTGTGTGTG